GGCTCGTGGTGGTTTACAGACAAGTTCCTAATGATAACGGGGGAACGGATATGGGTATATATGGTGATCGACCGAGGGCTGACATCAGCTCGCCCCTTGGTTAGCATAGTACCGTGTTTCAGGCACTGCGGAATAAAGAGCGACGAAAGGGTGGACGAGCTGGGTCGCGAAGGCAGTGGTGGGGTCTTCATCGGACTCGAAAATACCCAAGGAATTGCTCCCTTCGTTATCAGGGTCAGGATTAAAGACTAGGTGCCATGCTCAGTGGCAACAAACAACTGCACTCAGACAGTCCTGTGCCTTGGTAACAGAGCCCCTTGGCCAGGGTCTTTTAGGCTACTAAAACGGAATACAAGCCAGATTAGGAAGATCACCGGTGTCTTCACGGGGCACTGAATGGTCACCTGCACAACTTTGGGCGTGTAGGAGAGCCCACGTGCAGGTTCTGTGGCGAGGCAGATGAAACTACCGAGTATGTGGTCTGTCACTGTGGTGCTTTGGTCAGAGATACACATCAGCTCCCTGGCGACAGTTATCTGGAACCGGGGAGGGTGAAGCAACTTAGGCTGAACAGAGTCATATCCTTTATTGATAAGAGCGGACTCAAATTCCTAGTGAAAGCTATAAATAAAAAACCTATAAAGGGAGTGTAAATTGGATACATATTTCGTTATTGGTTTCTCGTCAATATATAAGATGTATGGCAAGTTTTGTATAATTTTGCGAGCAATCAAGTTAGCAAAATATCTTAAAATCAATTTTCAGAAAGAGAGAAAAGGAAAAGTTTTCATTAAATCCATCATCATAAAATTTATGTTCAGCGCTAACTGTGGACCAGTTTAATAATTTTACTGAAAATATTGGAATTCATATCAGTAATTTCGATATTTAATTTCAAAGAAGGGGTGAACAACTCCGTTATATGTTACATGTTAGTGTTACCAACTTTACAAATGTTTTATTTTGCAGGAAATTCATAATATCATCATTCATTCGTAATCACCCGTCATTGATATCGGAGGGTCAAGCACGTGAAAAATCTCTATTCATTTTTTGGCATTAGTCGCAACGAAGAAAGTTTCACCGCCGCCGTTATTTCATACAGAAACGGTGAGATTTTTTCTTAGACAGAAACGTGTTCGTATATTCCATAAGCTCCCGTCGTCGCAATCTCACTTCAGTATTTGAATATACAATCAAATTCCAAACTTGATTCAGGTGTAACACAATCCGTTCTATACAAAGAAATTATTAATAGAACTGAGTTCAATATTTGATGTAGGTTTCACAAAGGAAAAGAGAACAGCGGAAAAGTGCATTATCCTACCGAATTTCCAACATTTAATGTATAGGTATATCAGCTGCAATTCAATTTTCCAAGTTTATAATACGAATAAGTTTCAGTTGGAAATTTCCTGTTTTACGACATGAATACCATCAAAACTACCAATTTTACACGGAAAAATGGAACGCCCGCAATGCCTTTATGTTTCACTGCGCCAGATGATAAGATTTTATGTGGCAACTTTCGAATGGCATTAACAAAGATCTGTTAATTCAACTTTATGTTATGTGATGAATTCCAAACAATCGACGAAGAGCCGTTGAAATGGAACGGAAAATTTGAATTGCAAATTGTTAATGTCGAAATGTATGCCGTATGTCTTCTTAATTCTTGGCGCGCAATAATTTCAGCAGCACTTTCAATTTTATTTTGAAAATTACTTGAATCTTAGTTGCCCTATAACACACGAAACACGACAAATATCTTTTGAAAATGACATCTGCCCTGAAGTATTTTCTACCCTTCCCTAGTAAGGCCACCAAGGACTCGTTATTATTACTGCTTCATACTCGTAAACGATTACAACCCCTAACAACGCTCTCGATAAGGCAAAACTTTGAACTAGGGCGTCTCATTTACAATGTATGGATAGTAAAAAGAAACATCAGGGTTTATAGCTGCATGATATTCGATATTAGGTCCTTCTGTATTTTTGTTATGGTTACGCTAGATTACAAGCACGTATTGGATATTGCAAACGACTCTCGTTTTATGAACCGAACTGTGCGTATTTTATGTTCATCCCTTTTTTCTTTTTAAACCAGCCTATACGGTTTGCATTTTAAACAACTTTCATTATTAATTTTTCGTTTCCCATAAGTTTTCCCCGCCAAATATGAGCACTTTTTTCTTTCTCATGCAGGGATAATTGCTTAACATAATTTAGTCAGATGATATTCGGGAGATTGTTTACAAATTTTGTTTAGTACGGCCTTGTAATTGTTTAACTGTTGAATTGATACATTTGTATTAACTATGAACTATGAATACCAATAATCAAATTTTATCTTTTTACGGCAGTTTTCCTTAAATCGTAGGACGCGTTATCTGGGCAAGGGGGATTTGTAAAATGTTTATTATCAAATTTTGGCCTACGGACTTGCTATAAGTTTAAGACGCAACTATTTTAGATAATCTAAAGATTTATGACTAACAGGCCCTTCTTTTGAAGAACACAACATTGGGTTTTATATTGTATATAACAATTTTTTCGAGTTGCTTGTTTTGATATTCAAATATCAACATCCGAATTATTTGGTATTGAAATTCATTTACAGGTAGTAAGGCGTCCAAATTGAGACCTTCATCTGCAAAAATGTAACGCATGAAATTCATACTCAAGCTTTCTAAATGACTCAGCATGGTGCATTCAGCAGCTTCATAGTCCATTAAGAAACAAGTTTAAATTGTGCACAGCTCTTGTGCAGATAAAGCCCATTTTTTAAAACCGAAATAGCTTAGTAAGTGGTTGCATTATAAGGTAGTAACATGATATATTTATCGATGTTTTCATTCTTGTTAGATAGGTACGTCTCGTCCAAACAATTCATTTTGCCTTTGTGGATACTTTCCTCTGACAAAGCGATTTCGTGATATTCGCTCGTAAAGTTTTGACATAACCAATAGATATATTTCTTCCAGACGTCCCAATCGCCCTTTGTGAGTACCATCCTCCGACAATCTGTTTTTGAGATATAAGGAATTGTCTTAATCCAATCACGATAAGGAATCTAGGAGGCTATGGTTGGTAAAAATTAATTCCTTTCGTAGAGACCTTTCGTTGGAGTACCATGAACGTGTGTTAACCCCCTTCCTCCTATTTTCAAAAAAAATACTTGGTATGCAAATTCTGAGACCAGTTGGTTGTCACATGTAAAAGTCATGCACGTTTTACATTCAAAAGTAGCAACTCAGGAAATAATTCATGGGGCAGCTCTCCCTTAAGGTAGCGAAATTTGATGGCCGTCTAGAACACCTTCAAGGTATTGGCTACATATTGCAAAAAATTCCATGACTTTTCCATGACCATTCCATCCAGACGGACGGACGGACGCAAACAATAGCACATTTTTTTTAACTCTTAAAAACCACGCCGAGCTCACATTCAGAAAGCTCTACCCATGTCCCATGATTTGATGCTGATGAATATTTCGATGCGATATTTTGAAAAAAATAAATATCGTTTCGTAGATAATTGGAAAAAAAGTGAAAATCGCCATTTTTAAAAACTAACGTAACCGAATTGTTCGAATTGATAATGGTGCTTTACACCCCACATTCTTCATGCATTTTGGCTACTAAGATAAAACATCTAAAAATCGAAATAATTTACAAACGGTATGTCTTGTCGGCAAACTTTTTACGGCACAAACGTCGCACTAACCAATGCATCTAATCCATTTTTAAGTGGAGAGCACGTAAAGAAAACTTGAAATGAACGCGTGGAAGGGCTGTAAGAGACGTCAATGAGGCGGGAAGGAGGCACGAGGAAAACGAGAATAACCCGTTAGAGAAATGTGAAGAAGAGCATCATAGAATTGCAAGTAAAGCGTAAGGAATATAGGCTATAAAGCCTTTATAGAAACAATAAACATTTGTGGTTCCTTTTAATATTTTAAAGAATTCTCGGGAAAACACTTTTTTTATTAATTTTGGTGCGTAGAATCCAAAACAATTCGTACTTTTTCGATTAGACTTCTCAATCAAAAGTTATAGACTAGAAACCAATTTCGAAAGAAAATTTAAAGGGCTGTAACTTTTGATCCAGTAGCCCAATCTTGGAACTGTTTGAAATTATGGATTCTACAGGCCACATTCTATAAGAAAATGTTTTTTCCCGGTCGATCTGAGATAGGGAATGCAATCCCGCAGCAAAATCTCAATCTCGGTATTTGCGGGATCGTTAGATGTTAATCCTGCGTAAGAACCTATTACATGCGAGAAAAACAAGACCTGAAAAGTGTCCCTTCTGAGGCCTACTGAAATAGTGCTCAAAAAATAACATGGCCCTATTTTAAGTTACTGTGGTTTTTGAGTCCGACCTTAAAACAGATTTCAATACGAGCTTCAAGAAGAAACCCAAGGGTCGGCTTAAAAATCACGACGAAAGCTTGAATTTATAAGCAGACATAAGACGTCTCCTACTGGTGGCGGACTTGTTCGTCGTTTCCTTATGCTCCTTCTTCTATGCAGATTGCAGCCGACCTAAAATTATGGTTTGGAGAGGTAGAAGTATGTCCATCATGACGCAAAGGTTTCTACAAAACTGACACGACGTTCAGTGAGAAAGGAAATTGCTCGTAATTCCCTAGTTTGCGTTCGCAATTTCTTTCATGTCAAAATTAACGGGACGCAAATGCGAATAGTTCGAACAAGGCAAGTACGAAGTACCTACAATATTGCACACTTATTCTTTCACCTAGCTTCAAAGATACACATTATCTTTGCTAGTTTTTTCTCCAGCAGCCCTGGTAATAACTGGGAAACTTTTACATTTTCAGAAGATGGAAAAATTAAGCATCCTGTATAATATTTAAGGTTGACTTTTAATTGAATCATTCCAACCCCCTTGTATTATTCATGAATGTACTGAATCTAAGAACTTTGCGGAATGTAATACAACTAACGCCACTATACGCCATTCTTTGTAACTACAACAAAGAACTCTTTTACGCACGATGATCTAGTGTTGACATTTACAATACATTTGAATTCATGCCGATTTCTGAATTGTACTAAAATTGAATAAAAACGTGTACATTTTGTACTTAAAGTAATTCTAATCTTAAATGTATTACTATTTAGATGTATCACTGTAAGTATCATTTTACGTAAAGTTTACATGTTTTTCGTAACCTCACTTTTTCAGAGTACTTGCAGATAATCAAGAAATAACACCCGCTCTATTTAAAAATCATATTCTAACTTCCGTGAAGCAAGTGTTTGGCGAAATCGGTGCTGCAGTGCCGTTTGATGTCTTGAAATACGATTCTACACAAAACAGGGCGATACTGCGTGTACCACGGGATCATTACGTAAAGTTTCGTGGAAGCCTCACCTTAGCTGGATATTATCAAGGTGTACTTTGCGCATACACTGTCCATAAGGCTAGTCCTTTACTGCTATCCCTGTTGGGTGATAGTCGAAGTTACGTTCATTAAAATGTCACACTGCCGTAAATTGGGGCCAAATAATAAGGATATTGTAATATTTGCAACTAAAGAGGATCACGCCGTTCCAAGTACGGTGTCTTTACCGGAACCAGATCCGCAACCTGGATTAATTTTGCCTAACGGCGATATTAACTGGAATTGTCCATGTTTGGGAGGAATGGCAACTGGTCCTTGTGGTATCGAGTTTCGAAACGCATTTAGTTGCTTTCATTACTCAAAAGAAGAGCCTAAAGGTAAGTTGCTGCAGGGGTCTGAATTCAATGCTTTTAGGTTTAAATTGTTGTAGGTACCGACTGCTTTGAGCTTTTTAAAACTATGCAAAATTGCATGCAAGACTATCCAACGTTGTATAACAAAGATTTAGCTGATGATGATGAGTTAAATGAGGCATTAGATGAATCGAAAAATGTTACAGAAGATAATAAGGAAAAGAAAACCTAACAGCTCAAATCCGTTAAGATTTATGTTAATTTTAAGTAGTTACAGTTTTTAGAGCGATTTGATGTTACAGGAACTTCAGTTTGAATATTGCAATAAATAAAGATTTCAATTATGTCATGAGTAAATTGGTATGTCTGATAAACCTATGGTAACAATAAACAATTGCAGGTATGGATGCTCCTGTAGGTAATAGACTCAGGTTTTGCTCCTGCTCCAAGATAGGTAGAATTATATAACATTCTCATTTTATCAAGAAATTAAGAATTGAAATCAGTATTAGGATTTATTGAGTACTTCGAATATAAAACTTTTATGTTTGACGGAGTACAGTCTAAAATTGTAAACCGTTACAGCAAAACCACAGTACTTATGATTGATTAATTTTATACTCGTGATGTATTGTGTGGGTCCATATCTCCGTTGTTTTTAAAGACATTACGGTTTTCACAACCTTGTGTCACTCTTTTGTGAAATTTAACAGATTCAAATCTAGCTACGTTTTGTTTCTGAGATACAGGATGAAAACGAAAAGTTTGACTTTTTGGGATGTTATCATGTCTCTACCCATGTAAGATAGAAAAAAGATAAAAAATGCCTATTTTAGTTATTTTTATTTATTATTTTATTTTGAACCACCATTTCTGGGATTTGACCCAAAGCAAAGAATACTATGTAATTATGGTTACTCTTTTGCCCATAGTATAAATGCAAAACCATGTAAGTAATTATAAGTAGGTACCTATTATATGCATAGAGTAAATTACTCTATGGTATATCTTAACGTCAATTTTTTGCATTCTTTTTCGTGATTACAATTATCACAAATTCACAACCTATTGTAACGTTATTTATAAATTCGGGTTCGATTTATATCAATATTTATTAAACAAAACTAAAACACTATAAAAACCGTACAATTTATATCGATTATTATATCACACACACTTCGCAATTTATTTCAGATTTTCGCGCTCGATGTTTCATACGTACTCGTTCCGTAGTAGACTGCCGCGATGTTCGGTCCGCAACCATTTATACACGCAAGCAATGTAAGTCCAGTACATTCTCGAATACGCGTAGAAAATTCCAGAGAATTCTGGAGCATTTCCGTTACACTGCCCCCTTCTTAATTCTGGACGTCTCGTTCAGAAACTGCGTTAGTATTACTTTTTAATGCCTCGTGTCGGAATCTGCAGTCAGAGCCTGCTCGACAAACACCTTTCTTGAAAAAGTAACAGTCCACAGTTTTGCGGAGGGTCGTCCCCTGTGGGTTGAAGCAGCATACTGTAATTCGAACGCTAGTGTTTCTAAAAATCACTTCGATCATGGTTCGCACTATCTTCCAGTCCAACCCATCTAAACCACATCCAATCTTCGGGATCGCCAAGCTATTTATGTCATAGTATGCCATGAGTTTCTTCAAGTTTTTTTAAAGCAGACCAAAGGTTTTCATAGGTGGGTTTGCCTTCTGACGTTTTCTTTGAAACCAAGTAGAACAAAGAGCGTTGACTATCTTCCAAGCGCAGTACTTTACCCACTCGTGGTCTTTGCTTTATCAACTCGTCTATTCTTCCAAATCTTTTCCGGAATACGGAAGCTATACCTCTACCCATGCGAAGGTCTTCGGCGACACAATGGGCGATGGAAACGTTAACCGGAAGCTCAAAAATATTTTGACAAATTTCCTGAGTAACGCCAAATCGAGCTTTCTTCCGCTGGGCGTAATTTGACATAAAATCGTTAAAGTTTGGCTCGATCCCAAAGCTGCGTTCCTCTTCTCGAATACCTCTAACTTCTTCGTTGTTGTTGGATCCGGCATATCGTGCGAGTCGATTAATGTGGACAACTTTCGGTTTCCGGTGGTTCATTCTGATACGATATATCACGTCATTTATTTTCTTGATCACCTCATACGGACCTTCCCATTGTCTTTGTAGCTTGGGAGAAAGACCTCTTCGCCTCTGTGGATTGTGCAGCCATACCAGATCTCCAGCTTCAAAAGTTTCATTGGCCGAGCGGAGGTTGTATTGATTTTTCATGCGATCGCTGGCAATCTGAATATGACTTCTAGCCAAGTCGTGAATATCGTTCATCTTCGCCTTTAGTTGGTCAACATAATTTTCACCTGCGACATATTCTTCATGGGGTTTACGCCCAAACTCGAGATCACATGGAAGGCGTAGTTCACGACCCAACATAAGGCAGGCAGGAGTCTGACCCGTGGTCTCGTTGACGGCTGATCGATATGCCATAAGGAACAGTGGAGGTACTGGTCCCAATTTTTCTGATGTTCTGCCACGACTTTTGAAAGATATTTACCCATCGTTCGATTCATTCTCTCCACCATTCCATCTGACTGAGGATGCAAAGGTGTTGTTCTGGTTTTATTGGCTCCTACCAATCGACAAACATCTTGGAACAAAGCCGATTCAAAGTTCCTTCCTTGGTCTGAATGGATTTCTATAGGAACACCAAAACGTGTAAAGAACTCCTTTACCAACACTTCTGCAACTGTTGCTGCCTCTTGGTTTGGAATGGCGTAAGCTTCAGTCCACTTTGTGAAATAATCCATAGCGACTAGGATATATTTATTTCCGCCATCTGTCTCGGGAAACGGTCCTGCGATAACGATAGCAACTCGTTCCATCGGACTACCAACGTTATACTGCCTCATGGGTGCCTTCTTCTTGGAAACTGGTCCGTTTCCAGTAGCACATAACTCACATTTTTGACACCATCGCCGGACATCTTCTTTACGGTTGACCCAATAGAATCGCTCACGTACCCTTTGCAACGTTTTCGTAATACCAAAGTGTCTCCGGAAGCGCCGTCATGCAATTTTCGCAATACTTCCGACACTTTGCTTCTAGGTACTACTAATTGCAGCGTCGATTCGGTGCCATCTTCACTTTCAAAGGTCCTATACAACAGGTTGTCTTTCAGAGTCAGGCTATTCCATTGGCCCCAATAACTCTTTACTTCAGGACTTGTGGCACTAATGTCTTGCCAGCCTGGTCTTTGTCCGTGGCGCATCCAATTCAGAACAGTTTTTATACTTGGGTCGTTTTCTTGGGCCGTTTTGATTTCGCATGGCTTCCATTCCTCACTCTCTACAGTTGTTCGTCGCAGATGGCCAATCTTGTCTTCTATTTTAGAACAATGTGTGCAGTTGTCTTTGCACGGTCTTCTTGACAAAGCGTCTGCATTATTGTGAACTTTTCCAGACGACGTAATGTTTACAGTGAAGATCGGGGCTTTGTTTCTGCAGGTCGACGATAGCCCCTTCCTGTCGACCTTTCTTAGTTTTCCGACTGCTGTAATGGTTTTTGGCAGTTGCGGCGAACGTGTCCAATCTCGCCGCAATTCCAACATCGTGGTTCACGTTTCTTTGCCAGTGACTGTATTGCTTTATTGACCTTTTCTTCCATTACTTTACTGACCTTTTCTACCACTACTTTACTGACCTTTTCTTCAAAACTTTCAGAACCACCTTCCTCTTCGATGGTTCTTACCCGGCTGTCACTGCGAGGTTCCACCATACGTACTCGCGCACTTCCATGACTAGCTTCATGGCGGCTTCGAATTCTACCGCATGGGCCAAAGCTTTCTCAATTTTGTCGTGCCTAGCCAGTCTCAAAGCCTGCTGGGCATCTCCATCACGAACGGCATCGATAAATGTTTGTACAGTCAGTTGATCAAGAAAGCTCTCCGGTGCCGTAGGGTATGCCAATCGAATCAGTCTAGCGATGTCCGCTTCAAGTTCCTGCAAACTTTCTCCAGGTTTCTGCATTCGGTTCTTGACTTGGGCATAGTAAACTTGCTGAAGGTGTCTATCGCCATATCGCATTTCGAGTCGCGCTACTATTTGTTGGAAGTTCTGTTGATCCTCGGGGATGGTCCGCAACACATCCAGAGCATCTCCTCTCAGAGCAAGAATCAGGGCTGTAGTTTTGTCTTGAAGAGTCCATTTATTTGCCGCAGCCGCTGCTTCAAACTGTCGAACGTACGTGGTCCAAGGAATCTTACCATCAAAAGTAGGTGGCTTTACTCGGGCTTGCTGAACGTCGCCTTCTACTCTTGTATTTGTTTCTGGGTCGACCTTCTTGTAATGAGTAGACTGTGGCACCTCAAGAAGACGGTCCATCAGTAATTCATCTGGGGCACCACTAGTACGCTCTTCCGTAGTCAGTCGCAAGAATTGCTCGCGCAGCTCTTCATACTTGTGCTCAATCTCAACGAATGTTGCTTTAAATGTTTTGGAAACTTCCGTAATTCTATCTTCAACTTTTTCTTCAATTGATTTAGAGACTTCTTCGATAATCTTTCTAGAATTTTCCTCCATCTTCTCGAACTTCTCTTGAATATTTCTAGAATTTTCTTCATTAATCTTTCTAGAATTTTCTTCCATTTTCTCGAACTTCTCTTCAAAATTTCTAGAATTTTCTTCATTAATCTTTCTAGAATTTTCTTCCAACTTCTCGAACTTCTCTTGAATATTTCTAGAATTTTCTTTATTTTCTCGTTGCAACACCTGTTGACCATTTTGGATTTGCTGGAGCAAATTGAGCATCGTTTCTTCCATTTTAGTTTTAATTAATTTAATTAATTCCACACCTGACACCAATGTAACGTTATTTATAAATTCGGGTTCGATTTATATCAATATTTATTAAACAAAACTAAAACACTATAAAAAACCGTACAATTTATATCGATTATTATATCACACACACTTCGCAATTTATTTCAGATTTTCGCGCTCGATGTTTCATACGTACTCGTTCCGTAGTAGACTGCCGCGATGTTCGGTCCGCAACCATTTATACACGCAAGCAATGTAAGTCCAGTACATTCTCAAATACGCGTAGAAAATTCCAGAGAATTCTGGAGCATTTCCGTTACACTATTTTTATTTAGCCATGAACCAAAAATAAAACCTGATGAGTGTAAATTTAACCCGAGATTTAACCAATGCAGCAATGTTTAAATCGCCACAATGAACATTGCTGGTCATGAAAATCCTCAGCAATTTCAAGAACGGCGACCACCTCTTTGCTTATACGCTTCTAACCGATTTTATTGATAACAATGTTCCTGTTCGTCATTTTGGACGCAATAGGT